GAAGATTACACAAAAGCTCTCCAAATCGTACATGATCAAGAACCAATGCAAGCATATCTTTCTAATTACGCAATTCCTATCGTCGCGGACTGGCCTGGACAGTTTTTCATTCGTAAAGCTATTGTACATCGGCTTAACAACAACGAAACTATTCCTTCATTCGTTACAGCATTTCTACCTATTATGGGCCCTCTTCATGTATCTTTAAATGGTCGTGAACTTGTATTTAAGGAAAATTCATTTTTATTTAACGATATCTATAAAGGACTATTTGGCAATCGTAAGGAACTTGGTAAGAAGCCACGGCCATGGCAAATTGATTTAATTCTTCACATCATGCGCATGGCATGGCTTGATATAGATAATATTGTTTATTCCAAGTTTGGTCGTACATGCAAAAACATTGAATTTTTATATTTAACCGATCTTTTGAGCAATTTAATTCCTTTAGTTCTTGACGTTTACGCAGTGCACCATCGAGAAGGTAACTGGCTGGCTTATGAGGAAGCTTGTATGCGTTGCTGGAGTGATCTTTTTCTTCGGTTTGATAGAAGAAATTATAAGCGTGCACCTTTAATGTTTTTTTCTGATATCTTTTATTGGATGGAGACAAATCATCCAATGATTGACATGTTTACTAATTATCTCGCCTCTTTAAGTGATAGTCCTGTAGAAATCATTCACAGCATTATTCGACGACGTACGGCTAAGTTTTTTACTGCACAACAACTGCAAAAGGAGGCACGTTTTATTTTTCAACATCAAGAGGATAATTCTTTTCGACAACATTTCATAGATTCAGTAAAATATCCATATACACCTAAACAATTGCATATGCTTTCCCGAAAGTGTGCTGTATTGCTTTTAGATGTGTTTACAAAGATATATCAAGCACGAAACCAGTATCCTTTGATTACTAAAACATCTAATGGTATTAACTCATACAAGTTACCTTCTTTAGTTTACGAAATAACCGATCGTCACCTTCCAAGAGGCTTTGTTACTTCTAGGAAACCATCTACTAACATTTTTTGTGATTACGTATATTGTGATTACACTAACTATACTGATTTGAATAATTGTAGTGTACTCGCGTGTGGACATGGTTATCACAATCATTGTCTACAAAGGTGTCAATCTAAATGTTTGATATGCTTGGACTATCTTAAAGTCGAAATCAAAAAAAATGTCCGCGCACTAAAAGAAAGTATGACAAAAAGATTAAACGAAAATGAATTTATCGAAAATAACGAATATACAGTTGATGATGATTCGGGTAATGTTGAATCAGCAACTGACGATGCAGCAACGATGGAAATTTTATTAGAAAATGCAAAAAAAACATTTTTTGAGTTGTAAATTTTGTTTATTAAATAAATTTGTTTTTTCATACAAATCTTAAATTGGTCATGTTTACATTTTGTCGTCATTCATTATATTAAGGTTATTTTGATTATATCGAGAGATATGGTCAAGAGAAGAGTTAGGAAGAGAGTTATTTTTCAACCAAGTCGAAAACTAACCCTTTAAATACATTTTCGAGTAGTACAATTTAATTTATTAGACTATTTTGAAGGCTTGTCGCGTGGTTGCTTCCAAATTCTTAAATTCGTTAACGAAACAATTGTTGGTGAAGTAATTGTTGACAAAATGAATCAAACCCATATTTATTTCTACATTATCAAATTCACGATTTTAATTGGTCAATCACAAAATTGCATGGGTTAAATTTTTGTGTTCCCTCCTGTTAATTTTGTGTTCCCAGTACGTTCCCTCCTGTTTATTTTACCACATGAGGGGAGACCATATGCTTTTTATGAAAGGCAAATAAACTCTCTAAGAGAAGAGTTAGCCACTGTGGAGAAAGCCCTAGAAGTTGAAAGAGAGGAGGTAGCCAAATTTCAAGAAAAATCTGAAGAATTATTAGATAAGATAAAAAGTTTGAAGAAAAAATTAAGCAACTAGAAGAGGAAAACAAGACATTAAAAGATCAACAGAATGGTCAACTTGAAGTTAAAGAGACTAAAAGATGATCTTGATTGAAAACAAGAAAGTAGTTTAAAGAATATTCTGTATAAATTGAAATTCATTCCAATTATCAAAGAAAATGGTATGGTTGGCTCGGTCTAAAGACATCCTATTGCTGCGCCATGTGGCCAAATTTCAAAATAGCAATTTTGTAATTTGTTCAAAAATGTCTAAATTAATTTATATTTTAGACATTGTCTAAATAATTTAGTTTAAACACCCATCTATAGTGGGGACTAGGTGTCCTGCACTGTAGTTTCCAACATATCTTCTTACATAAATAAAAGGAAAATTTGACTGATCCCTTGAACAAAGTAGAAGAATCCACATAACAGGAGATGAAAAGGCGGAAAAAGATATAGGTGAGGAACAAATAATAGCTTTAGACTTTAAAAAATGCTTTTGATTTAATTAAAGATTGGTAAATTTCAAATAAAAAAAATTTTTTAAATTCAAATAAATTGTGTGCATACATGTAGATTTTACTCAAACTCCAGTTCATATCAAACTTTTGATCTAGCAATGATCTGAATGATCTTAGTTCTGTAGTTAACCAAACAGTAAAGTCAAAAATAATGACAACATATACTTTTTTTTCTATTTTTAAAAACAATTGAAATAAGCAAGTTTCACAACATAAAAAAGATCAACGATCGATTTTGTCACGTTTGATCTGTAACAGTGTCCACTATGCTTTCCAAATATCTAAAATCATGTGTATATTCTAATAGGAACGCTTGTCTTTCTTCGTCGATTTTAATGACAGACTCTGCCTTTAAATGGAAAACGAATAAATCAAACATGCGGACAAGAATGCCTATTCCTGAGCAACCATCACAGTCGTCACCACCATCATTACAATCGTCATCACTATCATCACCGTCACTACAATCATCAACACCAACTACACATGAACCATTTTCAATACCTTTGAATGATTTATTAGATTCAAATACACTTGTGAAGTTTATCAAGAAGATTCTAAGCGCAGAAAACATAGAGGAAAAAAAACGCGCGTGTCTTGAAAATTCAAATTGTATGACAATTTTAAAAAAAATTTATGGACCTGAAAAATTTCACGTTACTTCTAATGCAGTGAAGAAATTTATGAATGAGTATTCGCCAGATTTTTTTCTTGAACCAAATAAAAAGTTTCAGGATGTGGAAAATTATACAAATGTTTTTAGTCTTTTAGAAGCATTAAGTGAAAAGAAGGGACCTTCTGGTCATAAGAGCTACTTTGCAATTGGACGTTTTATACATACTTATTGCAAAGATCAGGAATCTAAAAATTTAGTGTTTAATATCTTGGATAAAAATCTTAAAATAGGGTTGAATAATAAAAATTTTAATAAAATTTTTCCAGGAGGGAAGTTTGTAGGATTCCAAGTTGCATTGTCTCATATGGGAAATGTTTCAGATTTGGAAAAATTATTTCAAAATCAGGAGACTTGGTACGCTTCAAGAAAAATGGATGGGGTAAGATGTATAATTAAAATATCACCAAATGCAGAATCTATTGTACTTTATTCAAGGACTGGAAAGATTTTTCATAGTTTAAAAGCATTTGAAAAAAAATTTGAAAGGCTTTATAGAAAAAATATTGACGCTTTTTCTAGTGATACATGGTCAAATGGAATAGTAATGGATGGCGAAGTTTGCCTATTGAAAAACCAGGATGATGGTAGTTATAAAGAAACTTTTGCAGAAAGCATTCAAATTAAAAAAGGTGATGGATTTCAATTAAACAAGCCAAGATTTTTTTTATTTGATTGTTTGACTCTGAAAGAATTCGAGGATAAGAAAGGGGATAGATGTTTTGGTGAACGTTATAAATTTATGAAAAAATTATTTAAAAGTTTTAAATCTGTGAATATAATATTAATCGATCAAATTGAAATCAAGAGTAAAGAAACATTAAAAGAGTATATAGATAAGGGATTTAATGAAGAGTGGGAAGGAATTATAATTAGAAAAGATACAGGATATGAAGGTAAAAGAAGGTAAAAATTGTGTGTGTATATATAATCTACATATTATATTAATACTGAAAATAATAACGATGATGATGATGATTTTATTGTTTCCAGTAATTCATTCCTTAAATTCAAAACATATCAAGAGGTTGAATTGACAGTCAAGGACGTTAAATTCGATAAAATGATGGTATCGATTAATAATAAAATGGAAGAAAGAGAAGTATTATCAAAAGTTATAGTTGATTATCAAGGTATCATTGTAATCTAATATATTATTATATACACATATGCATATCTTTCTTTATTAAATTTTTTCTATTTATTAGGTAATGATGTGGGTGTGGGATCAGGCTTTACTAACGAACAAAGAATTAAATATAAAGAAAATCCGGATTTAATCAAAGGAAAAGAAGTAACAATAAAATATTTTGAAGAATCAACCAGTAGAAATAAAACAGGTAAGTCTTTAAGATTTCCTATATTAAAGACGGTATGGGAAGAAGGCAAAAGAAATATTTGAATTCAAAATATAATATATGTAAAAACGATCCTCTCAATAATTTACATTAATTTTAATGCTGATTAAATAATAAATAAATTGAATCAATTTTGATTTGCTGTTTACTAGATTATTACACCAAGATGTTCTGGTAAGTTTAAACTTTATTAGTAATGAAAATTTTTAGTCTAATTCAATTACACGTGACTTATTTTAAACAATCAATGGGAGGATTTTTAATGCCGTAAAAAACACTGCACGCTTTACAAAGAGAGCCGTTAAAGAAAAGGCCTGTGACAAAATCACAGTGCTACTTGGTCATGGGATATTAAAAGTGTTTATAAGTTTTGTAAATGGTTTCTTTTGTCAGGAATCCAAAGAACGTTAACCAACAATTGATAATTATTGAAATAGTTATTATTATTATAATCTTATAATTTAGAAATATTGGTAATATTAATATATATTAACTAACACTGATTCTAACTTATCAATAAAGACAAATTTCGCAAACCATAAAAGGTTCCGATGTGCCACTAATTTCAGCTTTGTCTTTTAAAAAAACTTTTGCTATATATTGTTTCCCAGTTTGAAAATATTTAGAACCTATTTCGAATTTTATTGATTCATCCTGCAATTTTGCAATCTTTTCAATAATTAATAAAGAATAATTGATCAACAAACAAATTAATGTTTTTAACAAACAAATTTATTTTTAAAAAAACCCTCACATACTTTGTGATTTGGCCAAATTGAAATATAACTGGGATTTGGTAATGTTGGAAATATATAGAAGACATCTATTATAACTTCAGCTAACAAATCAACAGTAATGATTGATTTGTTGATAAAATTATGAGATATAAAGGAACGTTTATTAATCTAGTGATGAAAAACTTACGATTTCCTTCAAATCCAAAATAATCCCATTCAATCAACTGGATCGAGCCGATTCTAAATACAGGAATAGAAGGAACCTTTTTTTCATATGGAACACTCACGATTATCTTTAATTTTTCATTATTATGATCATCCACCCCATAAGAATCTTCTATAAAAAATGCTATTATTATTAAACAATATAACCAAGTTATTATAATATTTTTTTTCATTTTTTTTTTTAAGAAGTACTTATTTTGACTCAAAAAAATAAAAAATTACCACGATCCATTCATTCTTTCAATATGGTTTATAATTAATCATCAAGCATCTAAGCCACTCGCTGGGATGGCGTAGATCTTGTTATTAGTATCAAACAAGTGTTTAAATTCTAGATTGAAAGACGAGAAATTTCTTGTCCAAATAGATATAATATTTATTATGGATGATGTCAACTACGCGACCCATAAAATATTAAATCAAGGATAGATGAATTGAATCAACAAATATATAATAAATAGATATTATATTAATGGATCCCTTGAAAAGATTGGTTTAAATAAATGGCAAAAATGAATCTCGTAAGGAAACGGTTGCAGCATTAAAAATTTTACACAATTCGAAAAGTACTTCTACGATTATTCTTTTTTTTTAATTTGACGAATCAAGATCCAATTATATGTTTTAATGACAAAAATAGGTTAGAAGCCAGATAAAAAATTCTTCTTCATAGTAGCAATCAGTTATACACATATGTGCAAATTTAGGGCCATCAATTCCACATCATGTAAAGCAGCCAGCATCAGATATATATAGCTTTGGAGTTTTAGCCAGAATTGTTAACAGATGTAGTTATATGCGGACAAGAATGCCTATTCCTGAGCAACCATCACAGTCGTCACCACCATCATTACAATCGTCATCACTATCATCACCGTCACTACAATCATCAACACCAACTACACATGAACCATTTTCAATACCTTTGAATGATTTATTAGATTCAAATACACTTGTGAAGTTTATCAAGAAGATTCTAAGCGCAGAAAACATAGAGGAAAAAAAACGCGCGTGTCTTGAAAATTCAAATTGTATGACAATTTTAAAAAAAATTTATGGACCTGAAAAATTTCACGTTACTTCTAATGCAGTGAAGAAATTTATGAATGAGTATTCGCCAGATTTTTTTCTTGAACCAAATAAAAAGTTTCAGGATGTGGAAAATTATACAAATGTTTTTAGTCTTTTAGAAGCATTAAGTGAAAAGAAGGGACCTTCTGGTCATAAGAGCTACTTTGCAATTGGACGTTTTATACATACTTATTGCAAAGATCAGGAATCTAAAAATTTAGTGTTTAATATCTTGGATAAAAATCTTAAAATAGGGTTGAATAATAAAAATTTTAATAAAATTTTTCCAGGAGGGAAGTTTGTACTGGGAACACAAAATTAACAGGAGGGAACACAAAAATTTAACCCATGCAATTTTGTGATTGACCAATTAAAATC